ATCCCAGGGTCGGGTCAGGCAAAAGCCGCTCGGGAATTTGCTCTTTTTGCATTAAATACAGCTTATTATTTACTACACAGCTTCTATCTAATATATTTTATCTCTATAGCAGGATACGACCCCAAGAGCGGCTCCAAGACCAACCTGCTCGACCTGACCTCCTCGGAGCACGTCTCCAGCGAGAACGAGGAGAACCTGAAGTTCAAAACCAGCAAACCCGACAAGCCGGACGAAAAGAAACCGGACCAGCACCGCCAGGAGGCCAAACTGCCCAAGTTGAGCATCCGGAGGAAGGTGTCCATCCACTTCAAGGGCAAGAAGGAGAAGGCCAAGAAGCTGAGCGGCGCCGACAGCACCCCCGAATCGCCCAAGCCGAGGACGCCGGGGGAGAAGAAGGGTTCCATCTTCGACATACGCTTCGGCGACAAGGACAAGGAGAAGGCGAGGGCGCCGTACCAGAAGACGCCCAGCGTAGAGTCGAGGATGTCGACCACGGAGACGAGCAATCCGGAACCGAAGACTCCCACCAGCACGGACAGCAGGACCAGCAACGAGAAGCGGAACCTCAGGAGGGAGGACTCCGCCTGCGACAAGAAGAACAGGAAGAGCGTGTCGGTCAGCCCCGACAGGAACAGGCACGTGCACCTCAAGGAAGAAGGTAGATAGAAACGTCCTTTTATTACAAAAAAAAAAAAAACATTGCGACAAATTGAGTGTCTGTAAAATGTCATCACTTTTGTTGCTTCTGGAGATTTGTTTAACCAAGAACCTGTCAAGCTTTTTTAAAGTAAAGACATAACCTCAACTACAGCACATGAAAAATTAAAACAAATAGATTAAAATACACAAATGACAAATAATAAATAGGAAATGGGAATACATACTTTGTTTTTATACAAATATACTTTAAATAAAATAAAATATTTGTTAAATATTAGAGTGATTTTCAAAGCACTGATTGTTTACGTCAAACCGCAACGCTTGTCTCGAAAATCATTTATTTATTTAAAATACACATCCAACAGGCGATGCCCAATAACAGGATATGTTAAGTCAAGTAATAAAATATAAAAAAAGTTGAAACAGAGAGAAATTAACTATGAAAATATAGAGAAAAAAAATTCATGTTTAAATAATAAATAGTGGAGTCAAGATAGCTTAAAATTACGCATTATTTCGAAATAATAAAAATAAAACCTTTTGAAATTACTTGAAGATAAGTATTAGAAAAAAGTTATAAACTTATTTTTGTACGCTACTAATTTAAACTATAATAAATAGTTTGTTTAAGAACATTTAAAATAATTCAATGAATTTTAAATCGAATTCTTTCAAATTGACAAAATAGGGGTTTTCGATGTCGCTGAACAAGAGTATGAAGTCGGAAAATTAAAATTCAAAATGGCTGATCCAATCTGGCCGATTATTTTAAACAATTTATTGAACAATTATCGATTTTAAATCAAACTCGTTCATATTTGTAAAATAGAGGTCCAAAAAATGAAAATTATAAATGGCTAAAGAGGTTTTATTGAAAATAAGTTTTATTTTTTAAAAAACAAATTTATTACAAAACAATTAATTTTTAAATCTCATCGAGTTCATGCACTTCTTCAAAAATAACTGGGCAAATTTAAATACAAAATTACAAAATCAAAATCAACGTCACATATTATTTATTTATTCATTAATTATTTTAAAAATGGATCTATATTCATATGTAAATATTAAACTCATACATTTATAAGTTTAGCTTAAAGGAAAACGAATATAAATACCTTAAATGCAAACTGTAGATTATTTGTAATATTAAGTAATAATATTACATTAAAGAATTACAAGTGTACGAGAGTATAACCTCAAAATGGACAAAATATGTGAATAATACACTTTTTAACACACTGATAACTGCAGCTTACTCGAAAACATAAAAATCATATTCTTATACCATTTATAATAATAATTATTTAATTCTTATAAACGAAAAACGCTTTTAAAATAAATAAAACTAAGTAACAAAAAAATATTTGGTGTGCTCACTGCTTAGCTTCGTCACCCAAACTCGTATCTGTGTCTACATCAATAAGAGAACTTATATTCACAATTTCAGATACAGAATATACGTTTTAAAAATGAATATTAAATCAATTAATCAAAAAACGTTATTTTTTTGCTGTTATAACAATTTTCCACTTATTACTATAAATAAAAAAATTATTTTTACTTAATTCTTTGATGGTTTATTAAACAAAAAAAAATGTTTGTTCATTATTAAACTTTATTTAACAATAAATTTCACGGATTTTTCATGAAATATTTTTATTTTTTGTTATTTTTTGTTTTTTCAACTATTATTTCAATTTTTTAAGAAAAATAAAATGCACCATCTTAAAGTAGAGATTTTAAGCTTTAAAAAGTGCTCTCATAAAGTTTCAATATCACATTTACAACTATAGTTTTTGATCTATAAAGTATGGCCTAAAAAGTCAAATTTGTGATTTTTTAAAATTATTGAATATGTTGGGCTCAATATTTTTCCAAATTAAATTTTTAAGATTTTTTTTTATAGCGCTCAGTTTCAATTGTCATTTGAAGAGTAACCTGTGAAAGTTAGTTAGTTATTTATTTTAAAAATTAAAAGAATGACAGCTATTTTATTATTATTGTACAAAATTATAGAATGACGTAACTTTGTATACGTACTATATATATATATATTTTTTTTTTTCTTAAGTTTAAAGTCATCAATTTTGATAGCCGGATGACTCTTTCATTTAAGTTTTTGTGAGGTCGATTTGATCAATTAGATCGAAAGTTATAACAAGTTTAGTGTAGCGCGCTCGGGGCCGCGCGCTCTTCGAGAGCTAAACTTGGTAGACCAGGGTCGATAATTTTTGAAACGAAAAAAAATTATAGTAGGATGAAACCCATTGGAAAAGAAAGAGAATATAACAGAAATTAAAGGAAAAATAATTTACGGGCGATCTGAAGTCGGGAAGGGGAAGGGGGTGAGTTTTTAAGAGTAAAAAACGGTTTCCCTTGATTTCCGGAAAAACTACAAGACTTATGGAAAAAAGTGAAATGGCAAAGTTGTAGGTAATAAAAAGATCTACAACTTTTGTATTTACACTTTTTTCACATAACGAAAGAAGATTCTACAACTTTCTCAAAATATTGTAGATGTCTTATTAAATATTAACTTTATTAACTTATTTGGTTGTTAATTATAATAGAATATTTCGACTTGTAATTTTTTTGTTTATCAATGTAACATGGAATCTTACGTTTTTCGAGTAATTAAAGTGTAAATTTTAATAAATAGCTCAAAATTGTACATAATGATTAGAAAAAAAATTTCGGATT